TATTTTATTGCTTTTACGTCAGAGGAAACTTTAAATGTGAAAAATAGACATAAGTCCGCTTAAAGTCAGTTATTGACTGTATGTGGTTGAGTGTGCGCTCAAACCTTGATAATTTTTAATGCAAACTCATATATAGCATGCTGCATAGAGACTAATTCAACCAAAGAAAAGCTAATGAACAATAAATCATCACATCCTATGACAATTACATAACATTTTATTATTGCTTACGATAACACAATTATGTTTTTGCTTGAAAAAGATTTCGTCAAATAAATTCTACACAAAACACTAAATGCATATATATATATATATATATATATATATATTATATATATAAAAAAACCTTCTCCTTAATCTTTTTTTGAGTTATCTTTCATTTCCATTGTATTGTGACATCTAGCTGTTAGAATGTCTTGTTCATTTAGCTCTTTTTCAATTAATATCTCTGCATACATATATAAACATATATGTATGCATATGTTAAACATATTCATGTTTCAACTACCTTTTGTCAGTGCTTAAAGGACTGTAAAAAATCCTCCCTCCCTCCTGCGGTTTGCATGGTAAAATTTCTTTCCACCCTACTTTTCAGTACTTTTTTTGCTCTCTGAAGAGGTAACATAAGATACATATATACTGTATTAAACTAGTTCTCTGTGTCCTTATGATCCAGCTAAAAATCATCAACATCTGCTGGTTGCCTGTGCTGCTAACATATTACATTCATCACAGTTACAGCAAAGCCCCAATTAGTTTTTTTTATTTTTTCTGGGAGTAAAGCTTGTCTCGTCGTGGTTTATGTTGGACTGATACCATGGTCAGAGCAGATAACTCTACGACAGATGAAATTGATGAAAATTCATTTGATTTGTCAGAAATCACCCTTTAATCTCTCAACAGACTTGCGAGAATCACCTCCTTCACTCATGTTCCTGCTAACTCATCATCTCGCAGACACTCATCACTTCACACATAAAAGGCTGCAATGGAACAACAAGCCCCATAAAAAAAAGCATTTCCCACAAAGAAATAATGGTGGGATCTTACACAATCTTGACATGATAGAGCAGGGGCATGTGGGACGGCATATTTTGAATAAAGGCATTTCTGTGTTAGCGCTTTCTTTCTCTCACGCTCTGTGCGGAAGACATGTGTGACATGACAAATCACCATCTCTCCGGAACAGATTTATGCAGGTCTAGGTGTGCCCGTGAGGTGATCCTTATCTGGAATGGCAGAGCCAATCTCCCCTGATTCACTTCTAAGTGGTCCCTGTTTATCACTCAAAGTGTGGTGGTTGTCAGCCAAGTCCTTTTCCATACAACATTCACTTCTTTGCTATTTTGAAAGAACGATTGTTGAGGGAAAGAACATAGAATAATACAACTCAAAGAGCTCTGGTCTTGCAAAGGACAAGGTGGCAGCCACTTAGCCTGTAGTGCTCTGCTTAAACAGACCTCTAATCCTGTAACCCATGAAGCCTACCCCATCCATGTGGCTACAAGAGGTGGGGGGGGGGGGGGGGGGATTTTCTGGCATGTTTTATGGGAGAAGTTGGCACACATCTCTCTTGTTTATTTTATCTCTGTGTACATACTTCTCAAGGCGGCATTTTATCTGACTGAGCTGGCTTTGTTTGGTCTTGATATCTCTTGCAGCAGCTTGTCTTTGTTTTATGGATTTCTGGCAGCTTCTTTAAATAAGTGATCATGCTTAGAACAACACTCACCTTGACTCCTGGATGTTTGTTTTTTGTTTGCCGTGTTTGTATTATAGTATTAATGTTATGCTCACATTAGTCATTACCATGAAGTACAAAAGTTGTGTATTCAAATCCCATTAATGGTATTTAAACCTAATTAATATTACAGCGCTGAATGACACGCTGGTGAGCATATCGTGAAACCAAATTAAGCTTTCCTAACATCTGGCATCGACTTGAATGGGCTTGAATAAACGACGGTCTAAAAATGAAGACACTCCCTTATGCAAAATCATAATGTCCTAATTGTGCCGGGCAGCTGTTTATTCTAATAGATTCTGGATGTCATTGTTAGAGCAAGTTTTTAATAATTAGAATCATGTGGAGAGGAAGCAGGGTTTTTGTATAGCTGCCAACACTAGTGTAAGTGGGCTCTCTTTTTTTCTGGAACATGGACACTGCTTTTGTATGCATCCCCCTAGTAATTTGAGAAACAGCTGCCAAAGCTGTTTTAGAACAAGTAGATATTTAGATGACTTAAAAGCGTGGGCAAACATGGCACACAGAGCAATATAACTTTGCCAAAAAGGTATCTGTCTCCTCTTTGTCTAAGAAACTGGATGAAATCACAAGTTGAGTGGGAAAGAAAATCATGAGCTTTAGTTTCATTTCAAGTTTTGCCAGGAGAATGTGTCATTATACTTGAACCGAACAGAGACTCATTAAAGGGAGTCCTACATCATATAATTGTATGTAGTTAAGATTTTTAGTCAGTGCATGTGGAGCTTTCCAGTTTTCCCCCATCTGATTTTTGCTCCAGGAGCAACGCACAACACAAAGCTTTAGTTTCTGGTATGTTGTGTTAGACTTGAGTTGAAGGTTGTTGTTTCTTTGCCTGCCCTCTTTTTTCTCTCTCTCTTCTCTTTACTTTCATTTGTCATTTTCTTAACGGCACTCACACAAATGCTCACAAAGAGATTTGTGGCCTCAGGATCTTGATGAATCAAGTAAATAGAACATTTAGTCGGCTGTTTCAGTATTATGGCATTGAAAACCACTCAGTTGTGCTTTCAGGGTGCTAATTGTGTGGATTTAGGCTCGTGAACCCTCAATGATAGTTTTAAAATGACGCTTTTTGTGCACTTGGTTATTGGCAGTTTGTCCTTCATTAGTGTTAGACTTCATTTTACTTTTCTTTCTCCTCTATTTTCACCGTCTTATTTAGTCTTATCTTAGAGCAATATGTGTTTTATCTTTTCACAGTAGTGGCTAAAGAAAAAAAAATGTGAACAGACATCACCTCCTCCTGAGCTCAAAGGAGCATGTGTTAATGATGTTTTTAATTCAGGGCTTGCACATTGCTTTTGTTGCTATAGTGATGAGGAAAATTAAGATCGTCATTTGTGCACCAGTTGTATTTGCTCTTAAAAAAATCTTATCAGTTTGAATAATGGGACGAATAAAATTTTGTGCAATAAGCACAGCTGAGGGCGTAATTATATTTTATGCTTTTTATGTTCCTATACAGTGTGATGCAGTACTCTGGGAATGTTACTCAGGGAATCATGTGAAGACGTAAATCCAAGCCGCGCTCACCACTACCGGCCTTTGCTCTGTTGTATACCAGCGGTACCTCAAAGCCCAGTCAGATCACATTATGCCTCATTTTTCTGTGTGTCCAACGTAAAAGTGTAGACTAAAACTTGTCGGGCACAACGGCTGCGGCTGTGTGGTCTGCTCTCTGTAGAAATGGCTCCCATGTTTGCAGGGACTGCCACAGACGGAACATGTTTTCTTTCATAGCACCAAAGAAAGGTCGCAGCATGAACTTCTGTAAACCTCCGGAGAAATCAAAGAGGCCTGCACTGTTCAGAAGAAAATGCCCACTCTCTGTGATCCCCAAGACTTCACAAATCAAAGCCGCAACCTCCACACACGTTTCCACTTCTTTGTGTCTAAATTTGGTGAGAGGGAAAAACTGGGACATAGTTCAACCTGTTAATACCTATCACATCTATTTTCAGGATGTGTATCAGGGAGATCTCAATTACAATGTCGCAGTGACTTTATTATCTGGGAAGTAATTCACTAGGCTCAACAGGCCAGAAACAGTTTTGGGTTATGAGGTCATAGTCTCAATTAGTCTTTCTAATGACAAGATGCAATTTGGACATGTTTTCCTATTAAAAAGCAGGTGGAGGGGATGAATACCTCGCATGCAAGACTTGATTCATTTAGGCAAGGGTTTCCCTTGTGAATGCCATGTCACTGTATTTATTCACCCATGAATGAGCATCGCTGTCACCACTTGTGATGATATTAATAATCTGTCTGTCAGAGGTTGCATGCTGGGACTGTTTCTTTGGTTGTTTCAAGGGTTGCCTTGTTTCATATATTTATATATATATATATATATATATATATATATATATATATATATATATATATATATATATATATATATATATATATATATATATATATATAT